ACTTTTAGGACCCTTGTAAGTTGTTCAATACCAGAGGAGTACTCTACCTCAGCATTCCTTTAGCTTAAGCTCTTACTTCATTATCAATAATTCATTGCAAGCAAATGTTAATTTATAAATTTATGAAATCTGCAATGTCGGATTTATAAAGTAACTAGATTCTTGTCAAATGTTATTTTTCTAGATTGCACTGTGTTTTCTTTTTCTTTTTCAACCTGAATTATTTTCCTCGAATTTTGCCTGGAGACACCTTTACAACGATGCATGATAAAAGTAGTAGACAGCTATTTTTTAACAATGTCTCTGTAGGAAGACTGAATTTTTACTATTAGTCAGTGTTGGGTCATGTTTCTCAGTCAAAGTTCTTGTGTACATTTAGCTGTGGATCCTGTTGTTGAAGGAAAAACCAGATCAGAGCAATTTTATCGAGGAGACACACAAGGGAAAAAGGTACTAAATTGAATGTCAGTTTATTTTATCACTTATAACTTGTAGCTTGTTGATTCTCTATAGCATAAGGAATTAGTGAATGGGTGTTGTTGCTTTCCCCTTTGGAATGCTCCTTTTAATTGTGCTTGCCAGCATGAAATTACAAGGCAGTGTGAACTGAGATAAAGGATTTGTACTTCCACTTGCATGTTGTAACACTGTCTTTACATTATAATATTTTGAGTAAATTTTTATTTATTTTTTTCTTTCATTACATCCAAAAGGTGATGAGTGTTCTTATTCATGGTGATGCAGCATTTTCTGGACAGGGTGTGGTCTATGAGACTTTCCATTTAAGTGCACTGCCACAGTATACCACACATGGCACCATACATATTGTTGTTAACAACCAGGTTAGTTTTATTGTTTTGGTAATAAATCACCATTTAAAAGAGCTATTTGTTATGGACAGTGCCCGCTTTGGTTATGGTGTGCACTTTTTCTGCACACATGTAATGGTTATGATACACATGCACAAGAAACACATCATTATGAACTGAGGAAGAATTGCCTTTTATATCCTGAGGGTGACCAGCAACTAATTTCTCACTAAGGTGTTACAGCTGAGTCAAGCAGAAGGTTTATGAGAATTAATGAAGTAGTTGCAAACTTATAATTTCTCAATGTTTTACTAAATTCTCCTAGATAGTAACATAGGAAACTCATAGAGAACTGTATGAAGAATATACACACTGATGTTGGGATATAAAGTTTTGAAATATGATGAAAATAATATTGTAACACACATTAAACCATGTCTTTAATTTCAGATTGGCTTCACCACTGATCCAAGGGTTGCTCGCTCCTCACCTTATTGCACCGATGTTGCCAAGGTGGGTGCACAGAATTGTATCTTCTAGTTCAAGTAGCTTCCGTTAACCACTCACTTTAATTCCTAAGTAAATGTGGGAATTAGTATATCTAGGTGGCTTCTTTGGGTCACGCTGGGATTCAAAGCTCTTTTCATATCATTAAAGTACATATTAAGAAAACTGGCATGGAAAATTTTGAACTAGAAAAAGATTGAAGATTATTTGACTCTAGGGAAATAATCACATCTGCAGAATGAAAAATTGTTATACATCATTGCAACCTTGGTCATTAGGGCTTCAAGGTCAACTTTTTCATGATAACCATTGGGCAACCTTCACGAAAATTTATAAATGGTCACAGAAAACAATGTTTTATTCTCCTGAGAGAAACCCCCCAAAAAAGAAAAAGACTACATTGCTGTACCTTGGCCATTTAATTTAATGTATCTTGCAGCTGTTGTGTTAACTTCTCCATCTAAATATCTTATTCTTTAGGTTGTAGATGCTCCTATTTTTCATGTGAATGCTGATGACCCAGAGGCTGTGATGCATGTGTGTAAAGTTGCAGCAGAATGGAGAGCTGAATTTGGCAAAGATGTTGTCATTGATTTGGTATGTCTTACACTTTAAGTAAATAATTATTTCTGTCTGTAACTCTCTCTTAAAAACAGATTTTGAATTTTTATACAGTATCAATGGGAAATAAAAAGAAGACTGTCTTACTAGTAAGACTGTTACCGCATTAGAACTACATGGGTCATAAAGATTTCTATTTGTTAGCCATGTAGTGTGGGTAAGGTGGCTTATACGACTCCTCCCTCTTGTGAGATACAAGTTCAGGCAAATCACAAAGAATTTTGGAGGCATGAATCTTTTCCAATTTGAAATACTCCATCTCTCGAACCTTCTCCCACGTGAATACAAGCCTGCTGATACACAAGGAGTAGCAGCAGTTTGAAAATCTTGCATGAGATGCAGCGGAATTTGTAACTGATCTTACACCAAATTCTCTAAACTGAGGTCATGAGACAGAGTATTATGGCAGACAGTAAGGAAAGCTACTGGTGAGATCTTGGGAGTGAAAGGGTCAAGAAAATTTAAACAATTCTGGAGAAAGGGCAAGTAAGCATGAATATATTTATCATAAATACCCATTTCCTTTTCATGATCCAATTGCCCTCTCATGAACAATTTTAGGTTTGCTACCGTCGCCACGGCCACAATGAAGGTGACAATCCAATGTTCACACAACCAATCATGTACAAGAACATCAACAAAAAGAATCATGTGTTGGATTTGTACACAAAGAAACTTGTAGATGAGGGTGTTGTCACAGAGGAATGGCTTCAGGTATGTGCAGATTATGCGCTTATAGACTGAGTGAGAGAGCCAGACTGGAAAATATTTTAATTGAGGTCATGAGGAATGGACAGATTGCAGCTAGGTATGTGCATCAAGAGGGAGAGCCAAGTATTTTCTCATCCAGACTGAGTTAACTAAGTCAACAAGTATTTTATCATATGGCGGTGTTTTTTTGTTGCAAAGCCAAGTGGCTCTAAGTGGCTCTCTCAGGCCATCAATATGACCTTGGATGGAGAATTTTTGTCTAATATTTATTAAAGCATGTGCTGGGCCGTAAGGGTCATATGATAAATGACTGATCACCCTATTGTGGTAGCCACAGATCTGTCTAGTCTGAACATGTGACTATTCCAAAGAATGTTTAAAGCTCTTAGTCTGCAGGTGAATTTTGTAGAGGATGTGACTAGACAGAATAATTCAGGTCTCTATAGCATGTAAGGATTAGGAGTATTGCTTCCTTACTTTTAGATAGGAGGCTTCTTGACTTGAGTCATACTAAAAAAAAAAATATTGTGTCTTTTCTTTCAGGAAGAGAAAGCCAACTATGATAAGATTTGTGAAGAAGCATTTGCTGATGCAAAGTCTGAGAAGCGTGTACTGCTCAACAGGGATTGGCTGGATTCACCATGGAAAGGTGTGATCTTCTGTTTTAATTTTGCATGTCCATTGGAGGTTAAAAGATTCATATTATTACATCAAGCATGTTTATCACTTCAAGGGGTCCAAGATTTTAAAAAAATTTTGTTGGTCCAAAGTTTGTGTCAGAAAGAGATAGCCCCTGTGAAAAGGGTTCGTGTATATCACAATTTCATTTGATATTGAATAAAAGATAAATAGATGAACTGATGTCTAAAAATTAGATATCTATTGAATAACCAATTTCTAATTGTGTTTCAACAGGATTCTTCAAAAAAGGCTATTCTCCTACCCAGCCTGTGAAACCAACAGGAATTGCTCTTGACACTTTGAAGCATGTAGGAAATGTGTTCAGTGCTGCTCCTGGTGGAGACTTCAAGGTTCATGGAGGTAAAAAAAAAGATGATCCTTCCCCAACATCTCAGGCTGCTCCAAGCTGTGGCCATTTTTGTAGCCATGACAACTAGAAAAAAAATTGGGGATTCAATTAGTAGCCAAAGTTGTCAATTTTATTACCTGTGTTCAAAGATCATTCACTTTTTAATTAGCAACTGCTAAGAGTGACTTGCATCTAATTTCCCCTTACAATACCACCCCCAAAATCACACAGAGGTCACAAGAAAAAGGGAAATGACCACCAATGGTAGAAGCCCTGACTAGATTGTTAAACAAATTCTCCTTGTCAGCACCTTATGAAAATATATTGAGAACAGTATGGAGAATATGCATACTGATGTTGGGATGTTAAGAACCACAACTCACCATTCCTTCGTATCCATGAGGAATTTTTTTCCCGCTTTAATGGACTGAGGTCAAAATATTTCTCATGCTGTGCTGTTTTCTTCAATATTCTTGTTCGTTGGTTGCCTCAGTGTTAACTCTTAGACCCTTAAGAGTGATAAGCAACTTATTTCTCCTTACAATATCACCCCTGAATGGCCCATTTAAAAGGTCTTAAGAATAAAAGAAATGGTGCATGCAGAACAGTATGGAGAATATGCATGCTGATGTTAGGCTGCAATGGGTTAAGCCTTGAGATGTTGTGTGAATCTTTAAAATGAATGCAACATATGCTGCTCACTCCAAAGAAAAGTTGTGTGATTGGCAGTTTTTTTATGTTTATATGTAAGTGTGAAATGAAAGCAAGTATACCATACTACTACTGGCAGACCCTTTTCTTAATGAATGGATATCAATTTCAGGACTGCGCCGCATCCTTAAAGCTCGCCATGATCTACTGGAAAAGGGTTATGTGGACTGGGCAATGGGTGAAGCCCTGGCGTTTGGCTCTCTTTTGATAGAGGGTGTTCATGTGAGGCTAAGTGGACAGGATGTAGAGAGGGGGACTTTCAGGTAGATACACATCCAACAGTACCATGTAAGAGTATGGTGACCTCCTCACTGCTAAAGAGATTGTTGACCTCCTTTGATGCTATTTTTTTTTAACAACACTTACCCTCCAGTACTACTGATGAATTTTTCTATATGAGCCATTGGATGATATTTTTTTTCCTTTGTAGCCATCGTCATCATATTCTGCATGATCAAGACAAAGATAAAGTGACGTACTGTCCATTAAATGATCTCAGCACTGACCAGGCCATTTACACAGTCTGCAATAGCTCTCTATCAGAATATGCTGTGCTAGGTATGTTAAGTGCACATTATCAGCTATTAACATTGCGGATCCAAGCAGTTTGTGTCATATGAACTTTGCAATAGACCTCGCTCACTGTAGAGTCCCTGTGGCTCTCTGGTAGAGCATTGGAGCACAAAATCCAAAGGTCTAAGGTTCAACTCCTCATGGAGACTCAGAATTTTTTCTTTGTCCTACACTAGTGACAAGACAAAAAACATTTTTTTGTTTATTTCTTTACTGAGCTCAAAACTTACTATGTCTCTAATTCTATTTACATTTATTTGTTTTTATTCATATATTTGTAGTGAAAAGTTCCAGCATTCCTCAAACAATTTTGCAGTAGTAACTTGTCTCATACTTTATTAATCAAGGTTAGGACTTTTTGGCAAGAGGGGAGGGTGTTTGAAGTCACAACTTACTGGGTCACTGGCACTAGGATTTCCAGATTTTCTGTCACTGTGCTCAACAGTCCTGTTCAAGACTACTGTCACCCATTCATTTGCAAAAGATGATCAACAGCTAAATTTTGGACAAAAACGAACATGAACTGCATTATTTTAACTGTTCATGCCAATTGCAGTTTTTATCCATAAAACACATTTTTCTTCGTTTTGTAGGTTTTGAGCTTGGTTTCAGCATGACCAATCCATTTGCTCTTGTTTGCTGGGAAGCACAGTTTGGTGACTTTAACAATACTGCCCAGGTATGTCAATTGGATTAGTAAGAGAGATCAACATCTGAAATACTTTGGTCAGTTCAGCACAAGACTAAGTGTGATTTCATTCATTACTAACAGTAAGCCCTCCCAACCAGATCAATTCTAATGTTACAGGGTAATTGTGAAATTTAATGTCACTGTTTCAATCTATTTTTGTTTTATTTATATAGTTATTTTTACCCTCGGTAGTGTATTATTGATCAGTTTATCAGCAGTGGACAAGACAAATGGGTGAGACAAAGTGCACTCACCATGTTACTTCCTCATGGATACGAAGGAATGGTGAGTTGTAATTCTTTACACCCTAACATCAGTATGCATATTCTCCATACTGTTCTCAATACATTTCCTAAGGTGCTGATGAGGAGAATTTGTGTAACAATCTAGTGAGAGCTTCTATCATCGGTGGTCATTTCCCTTTTTCTTGCGACCTTTATGTGTGACTTTGGGGGTGATATTGTAAGGAGAAATTAGATGCTAGTCATGCTATTAGGGGTGAAAGGGTTATTCTTTCTTGAAGACTGCCAAAAGTGAAATCAGTCTGGGGTGAGTGGTCTGAGATTTGTGTTTATCATGACCATACCTTGTGGGGTTCAATTTGTAAACTACAGGCATCTTTAAAAAAGATGGAATTATGAATATTCTTAATAATTACAACTCATAACAAAGTCTGTGGGCCTGTTATATGCAAATAAGATGTTGTGTCTGATCGATGATGATAATTGCATTGTCCCTCTATTTAGCTTGATTGTACAAAGCAACACATATAAAAGGAATTGTCTGCTGTTGTTCAGTTGCTTTAAGGCTCAGAGATGAAATATGGAATTTCACAATGGTTATGTCTAAATTTCATCTTTCTGTAGAGTGGAAACACACTTACAGTTCCATAATATATATTTTTTTTCTTTTAGGGACCTGAACATTCCAGTGCCAGGCCAGAGAGGTTTCTACAAATGAGCAATGACAACCCTGATGTTTTTCCAGTAATTACTAATTTCTTCTTATATCAGTAACATGTTATATAGTTCTTCAGTTGTCATATTTCATTATAAATTGCACAATTTGTTATTTTATGTCCAACACATTTTTTTTTTGGCAATTCATCTCAAGCGACTGTTTACTTTCTAGTTTGTTCTTCATAAGTTTTTTTTCAAAGAATTTGTTGGCAAAGAACCACAAATTTAATTTATTATTCAGTCTTATCTTAGTCGGTATTGGTGGGTTTGTCTGTTACGCCTGTTTTATTACTTTCAAATCTGCAGACAAACAATGAACTCTTCGAGGTGAATCAGCTTTATTCCACCAACTGGCAGGTGAGTCAATTTTGTGAGTTTAGTTTTGCAGTTAATAATTGCAAATCATATATATATATATATATGTTTTTTTTTTTTTAATTTAGAATTATCCTCTTAAATTTTGATTTTACAGAAACCACACTGAAATGTGGGTCCTTTTTTTCTAGGTTGTTAACTGTAGCACTCCTGCAAACTATTTCCATGTGCTGCGGCGACAGATTGCTCTGAACTTCCGCAAGCCTGTAAGTTTTTCTTGATACTTCCCTTCAAATTAGAAAGAAGAACAAGAATGTGTATGTAAGGTTTTTTTATTTTAAAGGAGTTTGGCTTTGTCTCCATAATTTGTGTGTTTTTGCTTGGTGTAAAATGACCTACAACTTGAGTGAGACTACAAAACATTAGTCCAGTAGTATATAAATACACAAGAGAGGGAGGGACAAGGCTAACTAACGTCAGCAAGATTGATAAACTTTTAAATTAGTATTATTTTATAATAGTTCATAAGAAGGAGAAGATCAGGTTGTAAATCTAACTACTTGGTTTCCCTCAGCTCATCCTGATGACACCAAAAAGTCTCCTCCGTCTAGAAGCTGCCAGATCTCATATTGATGAAATGGCAGAAGGTAAGTTTGAGAAAAGATTATGTTGGTTACATTTAACTTCTTTTGTCTTGAAATTTGAGTTTGCAATGAAATTCTGAATTTAATGTTTTCTAGTATATGAGGGTCTCAAAAGAACAAACACAGTGAAAGCACAAGATTATTTAAGTTTGAACAGTACCAACCCAAAGGGAGGAGTACTTTTCATTCCAGGAGAGCTTTTCTTCATTGAAATCACTTTACTTCAATCTATGATGGATCAAAACGTTATCATGGTCTTGCATTTGAAATAGACATGGACAATAGGATCTTGGATATTGACACCAAATGCAAATAACAAAATGAACTCTAACTTCAAATACAGGGACATCATTTAGACGTGTGATCCCAGAGTCTGGTCCAGCATCAAAAAATCCAGAGAAAGTTCGCAAACTCCTTCTTTGTACTGGAAAAGTTTACTATGATTTGGCAAAGGTAAGAGTTCTGAAATACAACTCATTGAGTTGCCATCTCCGTACTCTCCTCACCATCACACAACAGGTTGAGGAATCAAATTTGCAGCACAGCAGTTTGAGTTCAACACACTCCTCACCATTTACCAATCCCTGCTCCTCTCTTCCCTTAGCTCGTGAGCAAAAGAGTGGCAAAGAGCACGTATTTTAAGTATTGCAAGCATGCTGACAGATCTATGGAATCTTGCATGCTTTGCAGCTTACAGAGGCCACTCTTTCTGAGCGTTTAAGGAAGATCTTGTTACTCAAACTGAATTTGTTTTGTTCTCTACTTCAGGAACGAAGCAAGAGAGGTCTTGATGAAGACATTGCCATCTCTCGTGTTGAACAGGTACACAAGTACCAGTACCTCTTTCAACCTATGATCACCAGGCTTTCTTGCCTTGCCTTGCCTTGCCTTTCCTTAAGAAAGCCATGAAAGAAATAGGAGATGGTTACAGCACTGTACTTGCAAGCCCATGCTCTGAAGTTCAAGTCTTCTTAGCCTGTCCGCATGAATAGTCCTGTAGCTTGTGACCTTCTCATTAAGACCGTTACCCTTGCTACGTTTTGATGTTTCATGTACTTCCCCACCAACACTGCTTTTGTTGACTTTGTTTTCTGAAATTGTTGCATGTTTTAATGTGTATAGAGCAAATGGCATTTATGGAGCATTGAGACAAAAAGTTTAGCAATAACATTCCCTGTTTGTAAACTAGTTCTGGCATGTCTCTTTGCATGCACAGTGAGTGCATTTGTCTGCTCTCTGATACAGTGTAGGCAACAGTGCCTTGCACTGTCCGTATTGTTAACCCTTGAGAGAATGAGCCTTCGTTTATTTTGCAGGAGAAACAGACAACAGTCGAGAATATCTTTGATTGTATCTGTGTTAGAGGTAGCGGTAGCTGAGAAATGGCAATAACCTTATGTCACTCGAAGACTAATACTTAGTATAACAGCAATAAACTGATGCTGTAAATTTATCAACAGAGAAACCCACTGATTTTAAGTTTCATTTTTATTGAAGTTGGTGTTGTGGTGTGTATTTGTACAAAATTATTTTTTCTGGTTGCAAGTTTTTATCATCAGTGGTACTTGTTTCAAGTGGAACTGATTTCATTGAGGACAGTAATAAATATGACATGCAACACTGTGACGTGTTTCACAGTCACTCTGGCTTAACACTAAAGATACCCCTCTGTAACCTTTGGTGTCTATTTCAGATAAGTCCATTCCCATTCGACTTGGTCAAGGCTGAAAATCAGAAGTACGACAATGCAGAGATTGTATGGGCTCAAGAGGAACCCATGAATATGGGTTACTGGACTTATGTTCATCCACGCCTTGTCACTTCTGTTGGAAACAATGTTAAGATCAGGTAATGAATAAAAATGGTTGAAGGTCTTCCTTTATGTTTCATTTGGGATACATTATGTTTGATTGCATGGTGGCCAGTTTTCGCTTGTCATCGTAAGATGTCTCGGCTACTTTTGAAATTGGTTGTAACCATATTCATTTTCATGACTACCCTCACCAGGATCTGGTGAAAAAAAATGTAAAGAAGTGGTGGGACAAAAATGATGAGCTTGCCATGCATTAGGACAGCAATATGTCTCACTAATCTATACTTTTGAGACTGGTGTTTACTCACCTTTTTGATGAGCCACTTAACTCATTAGACTGTGATTAATGACCATTAGACAGAATGTCACTACACTTTATATTTAATTTGTTTTCTGTTTATTTGTTTAGTCTTGCTTTTTTTTTTTTTCTTCTGACAGTTATGCTGGCCGTCCTCCTGCTGCATCAACAGCAACTGGAAACAAACATCATCACATTTCAGAACAGGAGGATCTTATCAACAAAGCCCTAGTATAAATTGTCTACCTCATTTTGAAAGACAGCTTTTAGTACTGAACCTATTTACTATGGATTTGAGAAACTGCAAGTTGCAGTTCAAAACAAGAATTATTGTATCTTATATTTCCCATATAGGACAATTTTTTTTTTCAGTATGTTTTGTTTTATCTGCTTCTGCAAGCTGTATGAGGGAGTGTAAAATAGAAGTATGATTTTTAATTAAACATTTATAATAAATTTTACGAGCCCAGCATAGGAATATATCTTATGACTTCGCAAAACCACGGGTTTGCCAACTGCTGAATGATGCAATCTGGATAAGTGAAATATGAAATCAATTCAATCCAAGAAGTAAGTCTGTATAACAGGCAAGGAGCAATATCAGAATTAATCTGCAAATTAGGGAAATAGTGTTTTTATTTTGGAGTGAAATCTGTAAAAACTCACTGATCTAATAAACAAATTACTGTTTGGTAATTATATCTGTCCATTTTATCATAGTGGTTAATTTGTTTACATTGTAAAAAAGGCTGAGATAAGAAATCTTACTTTACACAGATTTCCTACAGCAATTATTACACATCTTAATAGAACTCTTTTTAAACGGAAAATCCCAGAAATCATTTCCCAGCAAAAATTCTTTTTCCGGGTATCTGGAACTGTATGAATCTTAATGTCCACCTTCATTCATGACTTAATAATTGAGTGTCGAGGATTTGGGGTCTATATGTACAGGTTAGTAATATCACAAAAACTCATTAATGAACCTAAGTCTTCAACTACAACTTTTATTAACAAAGACTCAAACACTTTTTTTCATTTCACAGACACCGACACAAAGCATAAAACTTCAATGCTCTCTCTACATTAACAGCCTATAGTATACAAAAATTACTCTAATAATGACATCTCTACACCTTAACATCAGTATCCATATTCTCAATACTCTTCTTTAAACATTTTGTAAGATACTGACAAGGAGAATTTGTTTAACAATCAAGAGCAGCTTAAGTTAATGGTAATTTCCTCTTTTTTTGTGACCTTCATGTGAGATTCAGGGATGATACTGTAATGAGAAAGCGGATCAATATCAGTATCTGGGCAACTGCCCACCTACCCCTCCCTTAACCCAACATTAACCTTAACTCGTTGTCAATTGACTGTTGTTGAGTTAAGGGAGGGGTAGGTGGGCAGTTGCCCAGATACTGATATTGATCCGAGAAAGCTAACCACTCTTAGGGGGCAGAGGGTTAATTCTGAATTATTAACATCAATTTTGTAAAAAGTCAAGTACTTCTTATCAGGTAAATATAATTCAGATAATGATTCATTTAGTAGGCTTTGTTGACTGCTGCAAGGGCTTCTTTACATATTGGATCAAGTTTTCCATCACCCCCTGAAATCAAAGTTTACAAATGGTTAATAAGATTCTCATCCAGGTGGTTGAAAATTGCTCTTGGACTAGGAAACTACTTAACCACTCGTTGTACCAATAAAATTTGTGGTTTTGCAAAAGTAGTGCAATCTTTTTAACAAGTGGAACTCGTAGGCTTAAAGTATATTAGAGGGGCAGTGGGTGATAAAATTGGAGACTTCCGAGACTACCAGACCCACATTTTAAAATTTGTAGTGGGAACAAGACAGTGTTAGCAACACAGTCAATAGTAATTGTGGTTAAAACATTTAACTCCCATAATGAACCAATAAAGAATTTCTCTGCACAATATCACTGCAGTATCTTGGTAATGAGAATAAAGAAAAATACCAATAAGGGGAATATTGGTTGGTCTGATACAATATTCTTCAAACCAACATTACAAGACCTGTATGACAGATAGTAAGGAGAATTACTAATGAGATCTACAAACTAACATTACATGAACTGTATGGCAGATAGTAAGGAGAATTACTAATGAGATCATGGGAGTGAAAGGGATTACACTGTAAGAAATGCACAAATAAAGAGATTGGGAAACTTTTTGCAAGACCAATGAGATTGTGAGATCAGAAGGGAAGTTAGTGAGACCCATTATTTTTTAAGATTTAATTCATCACCGTTTGTTTTCCCAATATCAAACTGATGAAGCTTTTTAAGACCAAAGAGCAGTACATGTTCTTGATTGTCAACTTGGTAGCTTTCTATTTCTCTTCCTCTTTGGTATCAATAACCCTGCATCAGTATCATTCCTGACCCTTCCACCCCTAGGAATTTGAAGGTAATTCTCTTTTAAGTCTACCATAAATTTCCAATAATGTCTGATCTGAGAATTTGGTATTGAATCAGTTTACTATTCCGTATTTGATCCTTTTCTTTGTTCTCATCACTTCTTCTGCTTGATATGGCATGGACATTGCTAGGAGAAATTATGTCTTGGTCACTTGGGAGTACTTCACTGACCATAGTTGGAAAAGGTGAAAACCTACCGTACTGAAGCGTCTGAATTTTACAACGATAAATTATTTCCCCGTGAACTACCAGTTCAACGTCATCTCTGTCACGAGTTTTGACAAATTCTACTGTGTGTCCCTCACTTCTCAAGAGCGCTGTGAAACCAAAATGTTGTACAACTCGTTTAAAATGAAGAAAACTGCTGAACGAAGAAATTTGACGGCATTTTAACTTTTCATTTACCTTGAAGCCCCTCCAAACGCGCAGTTCGATGTTCAACTATTCCACATGACATATACGGTCCAAACTTCACTGTAACTTTGTGTTTGACCATTTCCCAGGTCGAAAGTCAGTTGTTGTTTATGTTAGCAACGAGACCGCCATATTGATTACCCCTGATTGCCTTGTACAGACAGGCATATTTAATATTTTCTTTATTTTTGATTGGTCCATACTTGGCCAATCAGGAAGAGTGTTACATTTAAAGGGGAGTTCGGCGCTCTAGTTAACGATTATGAGTTCGATTTCAACGAAATTGAACACAATTCTTCCTTTACAGCTAAGCAACAAATATACTTTATCTGGCCATGAAATGAGGTGGATACTATGACAGATCCTTGCACACCGTAAGTTCTATATCATGCATGCCTAAAAGCCAGGCCTTCGTTGTTTCCGGAGACCAAGTTGATGGTTTTTGACCGTTAGAATTAAAGTGACACCTTCAATTGACAAACCAAAACGCTTGATCGTCGTCAATTCCTTTCGTCGTGATTGTTTAATATACACATATATATCCATTTTTTTCGTCTGCGGAATTAAATTTTGAGCTCAGATCGGTAAAATTTTTGCACAGCCCCATACTACATTATGCATTCAATTCTTGGATAGAGAAAACAATAACAAAAACAATACATTGCCATTGGGAAAATAGCTTTGTTTGACAATAGTATGGGCTGTGCAGAAATTTTATCCCTTTTTTATTGGTTTGATGTTCGTTGGTCCCTTTTCAGTATTTGATCAGGAACCCAATGACTGAATTGACGAAAGAATTTGAGATTCGCCTATGTGCATGTCATTCCGACCCTTTCCCCTGATGTTAAGAGAGTTTTTTTCCGAAAAGGCCGGTCCTAATTATTGATCTATAACTATCGATCTCATTTTAATTAAATTGCAGGGGTTATTATTTTATTGCACAGTCAAGTAGATGAAGAGGAATTTTAAAAGCCTTACAGCCATCTGATGCTTAGGGTAATTTTTGTGCAGCAGGCAACATGAATAATACATCTTCAGATTTGAAATCTGGATACAAGTTTGAAGATGATCTTGCTTGTCTGACTGAAATGTTTCCTTGTGTGGACGGTAAAGTATTGAGGAATTACTTAGAAATCTTCTCCGACCAAGATAACTACTTATCAGTTATCATTGACATGCTGCTTCAAGGGGACAACATTGTTGGGTCAAATCCTGCTCAAAATTCAACTCAAAAAAAAAGTAGCACAAAACTGAAAACAGTAGTTAAAGGTGAAAATAGTTCATGCAGTGTAGAAGCTGGTGCATTAGAGCTTTCATCCAAAAAATTACAGAGAAGAGATTCCAGTGGCAGTGAAACTGATAATTTACCTGCAATGTTAGGAGAGGATGAAATTGATGTTAACACCAATGTGTTAAGTAACAATGAAAGTGAATCATTTACAACTTGTTCCAAAAACTCTGACAAGAAAGGAGTGAGATCTATCACATCATCAAAGTGTATATCCGATGACAATGATTGTGACATAGCTTTTGTAAAATGTGTGGCAAGCCCAACAAGACAACCATTTCAGCGCACTAGGAACTGCATCAGTATCTCGGGTACAATTTCACCTTCACAGCATAAAGGTATTTGTATACGCTACAAAGGTGGTGTTCTTCACCCATCAATGAATAAACCTAAAAAGCTGCAGATTGTCGAAATTGATGCTGATGAAAAAAATTGTGCAGGCAAGAGTAATACCCAGTCTCTATCAAATAGAGATCAGTCTAAAACCGGCCAATCACCTGGAAGAAAAACACAAAGTATTGTAAAGCCTTCCTGTACAAAGACTTCCACAGTGGTTCAGTGTGTGGAACCTTCAGATTCAAGCAAGGATGTGCAAACGGTTGAAGAAATCAGAAGCAGCAAGGAAGGGCTATCAGTCTCAGCCTCTTTAAGTGATTTGGAGATTTTGAAAAAGGTATTCCCTGATGCAGACCCCACTCAAATCACTTTGCTGTTGGAGAAGTATGCCAATGAACCTAACAAAGTTGCAATGGTTGGTAAGGAACTTGGAAACAAGCCCGATGCACAGGCACAACAATTGAAAAGGAAAGTTCCATTACCAAGGGTGGCATGGTTTTGGGAGTCAGACGATAACAAGTTGGTTCCATTTACTGATTCTGAATGCAATGTGTTAGAAAAAGAATTCCTAAACTGCAAGTCAGATCATTCTGGAGTTGCGTCTGACAGGGTAACAGGTATTAAACTGCCAGGATCAACTAAAAGTGTCAAAGTTAATTTTTTAAAAATGACAATGGCTTGCAGCAGCAATGGAACAAAGAGCCACATCTTTCGAGTTCCAGAAGGAAATGAAGAAAACATCAGGTGTGTTGCTTGTAGATCTTTTTCTTAAGGTTGTCTTGCCTGTTCCAGGGGTTCAGTTAGAAAAAGGAACTGTACTCGTCTGGTAAACTGCACATAATTAACCCTTTCACTTCCAAGATCTAATTAGTAATTCTCCTTACTATCTGCCATAAAATTCTTATGATGTTAGTTCGGGGAATTTGGTATTGGACCAACTAATAATCCCATAATTGATTTTCTTCACTATTCTCATTACCTACCTGCTTGATGTTGTATTGATATTGTAAGGAGAAATTCTGTCTTGGTCACTTGTGGGAGTCAAAGGGTTAATGGAGGCATCTAAAAGTTGAAGGGTTTTTAGGGCAGATGATATAAACAGGAAACCCATTAACTCTAAAAAGACCTTGGATGAAAAGAGGACCAGTGTACAGTGAAAGTGTGTTTGACTTCAAGTTCGGATCAGTGTGAAATCTCTTCTGTGAGCAAGTAAGGAAGATGAACACAGGAATGTATCAATCAAGGGATAACAATTAATCATCATTCAGTATAATCATTATTGAATCTCAGAAGTGAAAAAGCTATTGGTAGTCCAGTTCATTTTTTCCAAGGTTTTATCTGTTATTCCTTTTTTTATGCTGGTCAGTTTTCTATTAAGTGTCAAAGTGATCCTGAATTGCTTTGGTTTTACTTAAAAATAACCCTTTTACTCCCATGTGTGACCAAAACAGAATTTCTCCTTACCATATCAATACAATATCAAGTAGACAAGTGATGAGAATAAAGAAAAATATATCGATTAGGAGATTATAAATTGATCCAATGCCAAATTCTCCAAACTAACATCACAAGAACTCTATAGCAGACAGTAAGGAGAATTATTAATGAGATCTTGGGAGTTAAAGGGTTAACTTTGCTGTGTGATTGGTCCAGAGAATTTGTGCAACAACCAACAAGATACAATACTAATAAAATAGTAACTTGGCCACTCCAACCTGTTTTTCCACACTTTAAGCAGTTTACTTGTTTACACTTTGATTTCTGATTGGTGAAAGTATGATATAAGATCATTAACATACAAAAGTAAAACTACCCTCTTTTACAATTGCATTCATGGCAGAGGGCTTGCCATATTTACAACTCTAATAATGCGTCAATTAAAAATACTACTGGATAAATGATACAGTTTTTTTTTATCCTTTTTGGTTATCTCTAGTGGCAAACGTTTGATACCGCAAGAAGCCCTTACAGTCCCAAGTGACTGGCAGCAACAGAAGAGCAATGGTGCAGAATTAGTAAGAGTGCGTCCAGGTTCAGCCGAGTGGGATCATGTTCAGGGAAGTTTGAAGAGGAGTCTTAGGAAGGCAAAAGTGGTTGATATACAGCGGGTTCAGAACAAGTGGCTTTACAGGAAATATGCCATACAGCGTCATTTGATGAAGGAGAAAAATGGTTAGTGTTTATGAGGGATACATTAAAGATTTTATCAATAATTTCTCTTTCTTAGTTGCTGACCCTTTCTTTGTGTAAATTTTGACACTAAACTCTCAAGTGTTCCCTTTCAATCAGGATCTGCATCCATCAATGAAAAAGAGCTGTTCCATGGCACCAGAGAAACAAGTCCTGAAGCCATCTGGAGAGGTGAAGATGGGTTTGACATGCGTTATTCTGCTGACGGCCTTTGGGGGCGTGGTACCTATTTTGCCTGTGAGGCTTCATATAGCCATCATGGATTTGTGTACCAAGATGCTCAAACACAACACTTTCAGCTATTCCTTGCCCATGTTCTCACTGGAGATAGTATATCTTTACCTCCTGACCGCAGTCTGAAAATGCCTCCGCTAAAGGCAGGGTCCAATATCCGTTATGACAGCATCAACGGGTTCAGCAATAACTGTAATGTATACATTCTCTATAAACTTGACATTGCATATCCTGCATATCTTATCACATATACAATGACTAACAATAGATGATAGATTGCAATAAGTTGTGGTCACAACCTGAGATTTAATCCTTTAACTCCTAAGATCTGATTATTAATTCTCCCTTCTAGCTGCTCCACATTTCCTTGTGAATTAGTTGCAAGAAGTTCGTGTTAAATCAAGTTAACAACCTCTATCAGATGAGTTTGAGTATTCTCATTATCTGTTTGCTGGAGAGTGCATGGATATTATAGAGAGAATATAAATGTTAATCAGTTCTGGGAGTTACAGGGTTGAAGTTCTGACAATTGTATCACTCAGCCATTTTCCTGTTGATGATGTTGATACTAACATTACCCTTTAACTCCCAGATCAAATTTGTACTTCTCCTTACTGTCAACCATACAATTCTCATGATGTTAGTTCTGAGAATTTAGTATTGGATCAACCAATCATCCCCAAATTGATAGTTATCTATATTCTCATCACCTATCTGGTTAACATTGTATTGATATTGTAAGGAGAAATTCTTTCTTTGTCACTCATGGGAGTTAAAGGGTTAAAGTAAAAATAAAAATATTTTTAAGCTTGCAAAGAGGTTAATAATTTTATACTTTCAAACTTAAAATTAGTTGTGAAAATGATAACTTTTTAAATAATCAAAAAACAGTTTTATCAATTCCATAGCAGTTGCAGTTTTGTTTAGACTAATGGTTGTATGTTTTTCTTAACAAGATGAGAGAATTTTAGACAAAAAGAGACAAATTCAAAATAGATGTTAGCTAAGACAGTTTAGGTCAAATTGGAAATGTTGCATTTTAAGATATAGTTTATTTAGATCAATATCAGTATCTGGGCAACTGCCCACCTGCCCACCTGCCCCTCCCCTAACCCAACATTAACCCTGATTTGTTATCAATAGACTGTTGTTGGGTTAGGGGAGGGGTAGGTGGGCAGTTGCCCAGATACTGATATTTATCCATTTATTTTATGGTGCCTATGCTCACATCAATTCGAAACTTCAACAACACCCTCTCCTTGCCTCACAGGCATTTGAAGTTGTCATAAGTGCCTTGGGGTGGAGAATTCAAACCTTGCCTGGCTGTGTCAAATCTTTCCAGCAGAATACAAGTGTTATATCTTTGAATATGGAGGTGTTTAAGGAAAATGGTTCGCTTTTGCAAGCGAATGGCTCAGGAGAAAAGTTGTACAAGGTCAAGGTTTTAAAGCATGGTTGATGTGTAGATGGTCATGGTTGCTCATTTTAGCTTTTACACACACAAAAAAAAGATTGGGTAAAGCAAAACATTAGCTTAGTAATAAATTCCTTCACTCTGGGGACCATTCAGGAACTTATCCTAACAATATCACTACTGACAATTGCAACCAGAATAAAGTAGATAAAATGGGCACTCTATTATGGTAGATGTTTTATTCAACCAGATAACATTATTTAGCAAAAGAGGAGGTTGATCTTTTGAAATTAATGCTTTTATTAATTAAAAGTTTGGTCTGCTATTTGTTAACAGAAAATTATCAACCCTCTTCCAGTAAAATGACAAATAAAGAATTCTGTTATATTTATGGAAAGTAGCTCTTGATACCTCTACCTTACTTTACCATTTCAAATTAATTTAAAGCTTGAAACAAGGCAGGGAGGGCCAAGGAACATGGAGGCATAGGTTAGTAGTGTTGGACTTCAGGTCAAGAGGTCTGAGCTCAAGACCTGGCTGGGTAATTGTGTTGTGTTCCTGGGTAATAGCAGAGCTCACAGAGCGTAGCCCCATAATTATACAAAATAGTAGTACTTAGACCATCAAGCCGAAAAAATTTGGATGTACGACCGTATACAAGGCGCTACTTTTGACATGCATGGTCAACTGTACTGCAGGCACACCAATGCCATGGCTTTGTCCAGTAGTCCAGTGGTCAGTGCACTGGGCTCCAAGTCAGACAACCCACGTTCTAGTCATGGCCGGGGCAAGGCGTTGTACCCTTGAGACGTGCGGGAAAAAAAAATGCGAGCTCCACTTTTAGGCTTGGCTAAATCTGTATATTACACTTTACTCTTACTAACAGTGCCTTTCTCTACCCAGTAGTATAGGTGGGTACCAGCAAATTGTCAGGGAAGCCTGAAGAACCTTGCAATGAACTGGCATTCCATCAAGGGGGGAGTAACAGTAATAGCCCCTAGTGACTATGTGCTGAGAAAACTGGGATAAGCTTCTTAGCTCACATACAGACTTCACCAACCTAACTTGTGTCAACCACATGTTCAGAATTTAATCCTTTAACTCCCAGACCAAATTTGTAATTCTCCTTACCGTAACCCATACAGTTCTTATAGTGTTAGTTCAGAGAATTTAGTATTGGATCAACTAATTATCCCCAAATTGGTCTTTTTCTTTACTCTCATCACTTATCTGGTTGATATTGTATTGATATGTAGGGGAGAAATTCTGTCTTGGTCACTCATGGGAGTTAAAGGGTTAAAAGAATATTTTGCTTGACACAACAACAAGGGCTAATAATTATAAATTCAAAACAAAAATGTCTATTCCCTTCAACAATGAATGTATCTTCGAACCTATAAAAGTTTACAATCATGGTACTTGTTTGTAGAAAGAGATAAATGACATGTAATAAAATTTTTGAAAAAGTGAATACTGTGTATCCCTGAAAAAGCCCCCTCCCCTGAATAAGTGCCTCCCCCCTAGGCCATAATTTCAAACAAGTTCCCCCTTCCCCTTCCTTAAATAGTGGAGATAGAAAGAAAACCTGTTTCATCCATTGCCAATTCTTCATTACCTATTAAACCTTCAGAATCCACGCAGGAGAATAGTTTCTTTTCTGTTCCAGTTATTTCTATCTCCATGTGCTTGCAGAGTTCTCCACCTTTGTTTTTTAATCTGCTCTTTTGATTATTGTCACATTGCTATTCTAATATAATAAGCACCCTTTCTTAATTAAGCACTTTCCTTCTAATAAGTGCCCCCCTCTTTAAGCTGAAATTTTAAATGAATGCCCAAGTGCTTTTTCAAAGAAATACAGTATTTTTGCAATCAAGATTTTCACCTCTAATTATTAAAGGTGCACAATAAATTGCATCAATTCATTAATAAATTCAATGTGAATTTCTAGAATCATAAAAGGCAAAAGCCCATTCAAGTCTTTCCTTCATTTCTTTTGCTATCTAAATTTAAAAAGCTAATTACCAATTATTTCCTTGTGGTTAGAGTACATATGACTCCATCTCTAGGCCTAAGGGTCACATTTTCTTCTTCTGCTGCAGTTTGCCCAGGCAGCAGTTCACACTTAAATTCACGTAGCACTCTTGCCATCAAGACTTTAGCCTCAACCTGAGCTAATGTTTTTCCTATGCACGACCTTGGTCCAAGAGAGAATGGTGAATAACTGAACTGTAAAATATTCTCTTTGTGCACTGGAGAAAATCGGTCTGGATCAAATACATCAGAGTTTTCCCAAAATTTGGAAGACTTGTGGATTCCAATATAACTCACAGTCACATTGGTGTTTGGGGGGAGTTTGTAGCCACCAAAAGAATCACCCTTTGGTAACATTCTCTGGATGCTAGCAACAGGAGGGTGGAGTCTCAAACCTTCTTTCAGTACCTGGCCAAGGTATTCAAGTTTACTTAGGTCTTCAAACTCTAAATCATTGCGGCTGCCAAGGATTTCTTCCAACTCCTTTAAAATCCTAGTGAAAAACAGTATAATATGAGTCAGAGTAACCTTTTATCTTCTTATCATTTTCATGTGATAATGGCAGAAGTTTAAAGTCAAAACATTGTTGGTTTATATAGAGGAAAAAAAACCCAAACAAGTTTCATTAATGTTAATAAAACAAAACATTTCATAATGATTGCAATTGTTTAAACCAACCATTTAAAACATATTTTGAATTTACACATACACTGTGAAGAAACAGAACATGAATCTCAGAACTGAACCTTGCAAACCTTAAGAATTGAACCTTGTAAACCCTAAGAATTAAACTTTGAAAACCTTAGGAACTCAACATTGCAAACATTTATGTTATTTTTTAATTAGAACCTAGCATGAAACTGAATACTGATTATCTTATCAAAGGGCGTGTTTACTGACACATGCATAGCTTCTATATACCAGAATTGGATTTAAGCCTTCAGGAGAAGTTGTTGTCCACAAGAGCAGATAGTTCTTTTTGACATACTATAGGGCTTTGGAATCTTATAAATCTAATTCTAGGAGGATGTAGCCAATAAAAACCTTAACATACACTTACCGTTTTTCAATCTCAGGCTGTTTAAGAATCTCATATAAAGTAAATGAAAGCTGGTTAGAAGTTGTCTCTTGTCCTATTTAAAGAAAAAGGTACATTTTATATTAATTATCGATCAGGGTGACCAGAGAAGGAGAGAGATTTGATGATGTTAATCATCCATGACACTTTTTTTTTTCTTTTGCAAGGCTTTTTTTTTTCTTCCACACCTTCTCTTTTTCTTTTGCATTTCCTCTCTTTCCTCCGTTTTCTACCATTTGACTTCTTTTTTTATCCAATGAATTTTTATAATCTGCAACCCACAATACCCATATTGTATCTCATCAGCCATGTTTCGCACTGCCATAATTGTTTCTGTTGTTGTTGCTGTTGTTTTTTTTTTAACCAAAAGAAGTCACAGAAGAAAAGAAAAAGTAACCAGGAATAAAAGAAGTTGTACAAAAGGTAAAAAAAAAAGTTGCAGAAGTCAATGTCCCTTCCAGGCCAGCATACAATACAGCTACATACCACTACATGTGCAAGTCAATTAAAATTACAATTTACAAAAACTACACTTTCAATATAAAAATGTGTCAGCATTTTTTCACACTTTGGCATCATCATAAGTACATAAGTATGGTCATCTTATTTCAATGGCCCATTTCTGAGTTACTGTTGGCCTCATCTTCAAAGCAATGCTCATCCTTTCATTTGGTTATAAGCTTTTATTCACATACAAAGTTAACTCATTTTCATACAAATGGTGGAGCTACAGGCCTCGTTTTGAAAAAGAGGCATAGGTAATTTGTAAATGACCTACTGTATCACATAGATACCACTGAAATATTCCCGACAACCAATTATGAATAGCAACTCAAGCTCATAAATTTGTAGCTAATCCTCATTTGCTATTTGTTTTACACCTATTTGAGGGATCAGATGGGCAATTAAAAATGGAGAGAATGAAATTTGCTCAACAATTCTAAGTACTATTAACATAAAATGTACACTGAATAATCTTTAAAAAAAATGGTTTGCTGTACCTGCCAAAAAAATTGTCAAAAAATTATCCACTAAGTCCTCTATATCTAAATGAGGATTTTCCATTGCTTCTCTAAGGATGTGTTCCAGGACATCTTTGGGTGTGTCCTCTCCATCCCTTACTGCAGAGCAACGCTCTTCAATAACTTTAGCAGCAAAGGCTCGCAAATATTTAATGCTCTTAATAACAGAGTTTTGAAAGGGAAACATGGAAAATTGCAGCCTCCAGAATGAATTTCGAAAGCTTGATTCTATTCCTTTCAATGTTTTGGACACTGCACTGGGAAATTTAGAATTAGGGTCAGCTATAGTGCCAAGGTTGATTCCAAAGCCAACCTAAAATGAGAACATTTATTTCAATATTTCTACTGTTTGGTAACTCTGTTAAGCATTTAAGACTGACGAGCTTGTAATTTCTCCTTTCAGTATCACCCCTGAAATGTATACTAAGGTCACATATCAGAATAGAAGAAATGATTGCCAACTATAGAACCTATACAAGGTTGTCATGGAGGGCGGGAGATGGGAGTCAAAGATGCAGGAGTACAGAGAAAAAGGTACCACTCCATTAAGCCTTCCAATACCAAGATCTCAGATGAAAATTGACTGAGATGTTGTCTTGCAGCTTCTCAGTCACAGATCATGGATGAAAATGATTTTTTTGTGGAAGAGGAAATCTTCCAAAGTAAAGTAGTCAATGAGAGAAGTTAAGATCAAAGTCTGTTTCATGTGCTTTACACAGACTAGACAATGGATAGGTAGTCACCGACTATCATCTGCTGATACACCAACACTTGACAGATATATTACCAACACTTGAACAAGAGATCACTGACACTTCATCAACATTCAACAAGCCACATATTGACCCCCTGTCGGTGGATGCAGTGATCAAGTCCCAATGGATGGTCAGTCTGTCTGTTGACTGACTATCATCCAACGTATCCACCAACTTTCGATTGATATATTGGTCAATAGTCGGCCCATGCATTGGTCAATAGTCAATCGATACATTGGCTAATATGTCGGTTGACACTACCCACGGTACACATGACTCAAAATTTCTTACTGGTCACATTTGGTCACTATGGAACCCCTACCTTTCCAATGATGTCTAGGGTAACTTTTGCAAATTCATCTGCCATTCTAACTGATGTCTTCCCATCAGCTTTTTTGCGGAGCTCCTCCAAAAATTCCTCTCCAACTGAATTGAAGGATTCCATCAGATTCATCAAATACTTTCTGTGAAAGGCTGGGTTCAGCATGGCTCGTTTGCGATGCCAGGTTTCATGATCAATCTCCGTTAAAATTCCGCGACCCACGACACGCTGCCCAAACACGCTGGCGGCTTTGGAATACACACGACTTGCCTTTGGCAAATTTAACGTGATTATGGCTTTCTTGGCCATGTCTGGATCAACAATGACTACAATCGGTACATGAAAGATCCAAAAAACAAACAGTGGACCATACTTCTGATACCATTGAAAATGACAAGCATTTATACCTTTAAAAAAAAAAGAAAGCGAATATAGCATATGAGTTTCAAAGATATTTGACATCCTTTTGTGATATTCATAATCAACTTGTGAGACCAACAAATTGCACTTGTTCTCCGAGCTTATGCAATTTTCTTTTATCTTTGAATAAATCACTTAGGCTCTCCACTTAGGCTCTCCAAATCCAAATTGCACTCGAAATCATACGATTACCTAGAAAAGGTTTACCAAATTGAGTTAAACAGAGTTCAGAAGTTAATAAACCTTAAACTCATTACGGAAATTAAATTCGAGATCTACCCCTTGACCTATAGATGTTTCGAAAGGCGAAATAATAAAATAAACCTACCGCTCCCTGGAACGCGTCTTGTTTCGTTTTGAATAAACGGTATATTGCCTGAGAAGAAACCATCCCTTGTTGGACCCGGGATATGCTGGTAACGCCAGTGTCGATAAAAAACGTACACGCTGAAGGAGAGAAAGCCTACGATAGGAAGGAGAACGAAGATGGAAATGGCAAAAAGCACAGACATGAAGGCCATTCCTACTCGCTTCAGTTCACCTAGAAGTTGCTCAACTGAAAAATCGTAGATTCCGGGTTATAGTCATGTGACAATTACAACATGCCACAAGATAACATGTGCGTAAAGCTGACTCATACACCTGGCCATATAGGTCAGCGATCAGCTTGATCAATTCGTTGTAAAGATACACGATTAGCTTTCGGTGCAGGCTTTTTTAGCAAGCAAGCGCTCAGAATTTTTTCAACGTTTTTATGACATTTCAGCCACCATCTTCAAATTTTTAAGCAGAGGGTAGTTGGGGAGAGAGAGGAATTCCTACAGAAGGGGTAGCTGGATGATCACAGGCAACCCAAGCTCCAGCTGTGAGATGATCATCTTGCCAAATTAATAAGTATCTTGACAAAATTATAAGTTCTCTTGTAGTAAACGTAGAAATAGATAACTCGTTAAAATGGGTTTTTTTCAACACAGTAAGCGGTCAGACAACAAGCGATGCACTTTAGAAGTGAGGCGAGGAATTTTTATTGAGAATTTGACTGTATTTTTTTTATTCCTAAAAGCGGTCGTAAATACAGACTCTAATAATTTCGTCATGGCTCTTATTTGGCGAGATGATCATCTCACAGCTGGAGCTTGGGCCACCTGCGGGATGATAGGCGACAGGAAGAAAGGTGGGGATGGGCTTGGTTAGGGTGGTACTGGGGTGTCTTATCGGAGAAATGAGAGAAGCCTGGAAACTAAACTATAGTCGATTTTCTTGTGCAGCGGTATACGCCATCGTTGTTACGGTCGTTGCCAGGAGAAAGACAACACAAGTGACTAGGTGACTGTTTTGAGTTCACAAGCTGAAAGAACTCGAAGTTTTACCGTTTTTATAGGTTCTTCACGAGTGTTTGGGGATTTATTTTGTAAGTTTGCTTCAATTGATCTTTTCAGTTGTCAGATATGTGAATTTAAGAAGCGCAATTATTCAAATCCGATTCGTCCGTTGCGGAGGTTTAAGGATCCTGCAAGGGCTCGATAGATTTTTTCCCGCAGTGATCAATTTCATGTACTTTTAATTTCGTCTTTGGTGACAGGTAATTTGCATTGTTTTATCCAGCAGATCGGAAGCATTTAAGGTCAAAGATGGTGTCTGCTGTGGCGAACTCGTACGAGAATACGGTAAGTTTTTTCGGAATAGGGAAGTGACACTGAACATTCACCCGCAAATGAATGTTTGAACTTTTTTATTTTGTCTTAGCTGTTAATTTAATAAGCTTCCTGCATTTGGCAAAATCTCATAACTGGATGTTAATATAAAAAAAGACATACTTTTGGTGGAATCATGAATTTTTGTCACTTGTACCTTATTTGTTTTTTTCTTTAAATGATATGCAGTGAAAACGCTTTGATTGATTTAGAATCTGAAATACTTGATATGTGTTGTACTTGGTAAAATAAACTACTCCAGTTATGTCTAAAACGTCTTTTACCTTGTTTAGATCGATTAACATTCTACTTTAATTTTCCAAAATGACCAGTTATTGAAAACAAAACAAGTCAGTTTACCTTTTTGGTGATGCTACAGTGAAATTTCCGTTCCTTAATGATTAAATCTCTGTAAAAACCAACTAATAAAACCTTGAGCTTATTTATATTTTGGTTGCACCTTTAGAGCTTCACCAGCCCATTAATACTCAAGGATATTGAAGACAAAATAAGAAACATTGTTAATTCCAGAAAAGTTAGATTGACAGAGTACTTCAAGGATTTTGATCGCCTAAGAACTGGCTTCATAACAAGTAAGTTTTTCTCGGTTTGTTCACTTTGACATGCATTATTACGAACTCATGGTCACCATTTTAAACTGATATTTAGGAAATACTTACCTCACACTAACCGAGTGTGAGGCCTGTAAGTAATTTACGGACTGAGCTATTTCATCTTGGATTTAAGGCCCAAGCACAATGTGCACAGGCCCTAGAAACAAGGTAAAAAGAGGTTCTGTAACTTAAGTTTCAGCACAGACCCTTGACCTTTTAACTCCCAGATCAGATTTGTAATTCTCTTTACTGTCAACCAAACAATTCTTACAATGTTAGTTCAGAGAATGTGGTATTGGATCAACTAATTATTCCCAAATAGATATCAAAAAACAAAAAAAAAGAAAACAAAAAAAAATATAGCCAACAAAATTGACCAATCATAGTGCACATACTAACTGAGAGATATAATAATGACAAAGATTTATTATTAAATAACCTTTTAACATATTTTTGCTTTACCACAGAGTCTCAATTTGACCGCTGCTTGGATCAGTTGTTTGGTATTGTGCTGAGTCCAGAAGATGATACAAAGTTGATGGAAAAATATGGCAGCCCTGAGGCTAAACGTAAAGGTTTGGTGAACTACCGACATTTCTGTGAGGTCATTGGTGCAGGTGAGTTGTCTTAGTTTACTTAGGTTAATCTGTCTTAGGTAGTTAACCCTTTAATCCCTAGGAGTGACTAAAATCTAAATTCTCCTTACATTGTCACCCCTGAATCACTCATCAAGGTTTCAAGAATAAAATAAATGATCACCAACTAAAGAAGCTCTTGATTGTTAAACAAATTCTCTCTGTCTGCACCAAAGGAAATATATAGAGAATAGTATGGAGAATATGCATACTGATGTTAGGGTGTAAAGGGTTAAGTATATTACATGAAAAACAAAGATATAAGCACAAAGCATAAGTTAGAATCTATATTTTGTCCACAGTGTTTGATCCTGACATTTTAAATGAAGATCCAGCCACACAACAGATTGGTCCTGCAGCAAGGTAACAATCAAAAATCTAAAACTTATCATTATAGCTCTCTATACACTAATTTATACTGGTACAAGAATTAGTCCTGAAAGTATGTTCTCTCCATGAATATTTCAAAATTTTATAATAACTTTTTCAACATGTAGACAATATTTGGAAGACTGGCAGTTTTTCAAACTGTTTTTGTTCAAGACTCCTGCAGTCTTATATAACATCAAACTTCTACCCCTCCCTCTCCTCCCAAGATCCAATTGTAAATTCTCTGCTCTGTCTGCCATACATTTCTTGCTTTCTAAGTTTTGAGAATTTGGTGTTGTTTGAACAAAACCATATCCCCAGTTGATATTTTCCTTTCCTCTCATCATTTTTCTGATTACATTGCATGAGGAGAGCCCCTTTTTGTCATTTCTGAAAGTGGAAAGGTAGCCTGTTCCAGGCATTCAGTCGGTAAAACAGAGTGCAATAGTTATTAAACATTGCAATAGAAGCGGTCGGCAAAAATAAGAGGGGGGCCTGGGACTACTTGTGTAGTAAGCGTGATCTGACCCAGCCCATGCCTTCTCTTTGTTTGGTTCCACCAATAAAATTACTCCAGTTACAATTGTGCTTCTTTTTACCAAGTGAATGCCTGGAATAAAAAACAAGTGAAAAGGTTGATCAGATGCTGTTTAAATAATTTCTTTTTTACTTAACTTGTTAATTAAAGTTATCGTGTCAATTCATTGCTACTCTGTAGGGGTTTTTATTGATACATTATTGTTTTCAGTGGTAGTCCAATAGATCGTCGCCCTCTAAGTCCAGCATCTCTCGCAAAATGTGAAGATCTCTTGATGCGACTGGCTCACTTTTACAAATATCATGGAATCAACATCAAAACATGTTATGCTGACTTTGATAAGCACCATATTGGTGTTGTAACAGAGAGTCAGGTAAGCAAAGGGGGTACTAATTGATTGAAATGTGAACTGTTGCTTGCTGCTGGAAAAAGCGTTTCAATCTATTCATTGAAGAACTTTACTTTATAGCAGTCTGCCACCAGTGTGAAACATAATGCCAATCCTAAGAGTTTTCAAGCATTTCTTAAAGTAGAGTGTCATTTTTTAGGAGGCTAAAAATAATGTTGATGATCTATCAAGGTTCTTTCAACTGTAATATCTACTTACTATATCTTTCAACTGTAATATCTACTTACTCTGGAAATCCTCACAGAGAACTCACACTTTCTCTTTGTCTCACAGTCCTTAACCCTTTAACTCTCAAGATTTGATTGTTAATTCTCCCCTCCAGCTGCTACACATTTCCTTGTAAACTAGTTATGAGAACCTGGTGCTAGATCAAGATAGCAGCTTCTATTTGATAAGTTTGAATATTCTCATTACCTGTTTACTGAATAATGTATGGATATTGTAGGGAGAAGTTTTATTTTACTCACTTCAGGGAGTTAAAGGGTTAAAAGTTTTTTATTTTTTATTCAAGAAGTTTACCTTCTTTCTAATTATAACTCCATCTGCATTGTTAATCCTAACCATACTATATACAGGACTGACTTGTTAAATTTGAGTATTCATTGACTTAGTGGTCATTAAGTTTTCAGTTGCTTAGTTGGTACAGCAGCATCTGAATACAAAGTCAGAACTGACGGGCCAGATTTGAATTACTTAAGGGAAGGAAACTTAAAATTTTCCTTTCGTTACTTTCAAGCTTCATCAGTCCGCTATTAAGTGAAAATATATAACCAGTTCATTCTTTGCAGTTTTTCAGAAGTTTTCCGGGCTCTCCTGACATCATACACGAAGAGACAGTTCTGCTGGCTAAGAAGTACCGTGACTCCACCCGACCTGGCCTGTGTAACTACTATAGCTTCCATGAAGACATTGAAAGAATGCAAAATGGTGATTATGTACTTTTTGTTTATGAACATTCTGTCACTCGCTGTTAGTTCTGTTAGCAGACAAGGTAAAGTGAATCCTCTATTTTTTTTTTCTTGACCATCCAAAAGGCTAAGATGGGTTCATTTCCCCAGCTTTGATCTTAAGATACGAGCAGACCCTCCTTTTCGGCCGAGCCCGTCGCACAGAGGGCGTATTTCTGTTTAACAAGGAGGGAAAAACTTTTTACACTATAAGGTCGCTGAAAAAGTCCAGCATCCGTTTTAGACGGTAACCTGTATGTTAAGGCTTTTCTTTTTTTTTTGGAGCGGCACAAGAAAGGAGAAGCCTAGGATATTAAAAACAATAGCTTTCATTTGTTGCGGAAAATGCTCGTATATTTGTCCTTGGAAAAATGAAATGAAGGTTAACTTTGTACACACATAAAGAGACCACTGTTGAAGGAGGATGGAAACGTGTTACTGCAATGGGAAGGGTATTTGGTATGGTATGCCTGTGCCTCACGACAGGACACCTAACGATTTTGGACGCTTTGCTGGTGAAAGCAACAGCAACGAAATCAGGCCTGTGAACTGTCTTTTTATGAGATTTTTGATCTATAACTAATAGCTCTTTGTTCTGGTCCGATTTTAGCCTTGGCTGAAAAAGAGGACTTTACAAAGTACATTCCAAATCAGGACATCATTGATGAGTCTGGAAAGGTAATTGTTAAAACATGTAGAAATATCGCATCCTCGAGCTAAAAGATCCGCTCGTGTCAATGGTAGAGTGTCACGATTTTTTTTAATTTTTTTTTTTATACATTTTGCGAGCACAGATTTTTTTGCAATTTTTTTGCAATTTTTTGCGTTGGATCGAACACAATCCACAAAAAAAATCTTCACTTTTCGAAGCAGACAACAAGAGACATTTATTAGGGTTCTCCTAGCCATGATTTTTCAAAATCAGTGACTTTGGTTTTGTCTTTTAGCGTCCTAGAACACCATCTTTAGATGAAATATTTGAGAAAATTAGAGAGGCTGTCCACAAGAATGGCATCCGAACAACAGAGTTCTTCAAAGACCATGATAAGTTGAGAAGCGGAGAGATCACTGAAAATCAGGCAAGGATCAATTAATGGTGTATTTTAATAAACAGATAATTTGGTTTTGTCAACCGTGTTGATATGTTAATTGGCCACCGCAAAGAGTTCGTGAAGTTGACGTTTCGAGCGTGAGCGCGTCGGCTTTCGCTCTGACGCAGTGGAGCGGAACCTCCATAACGAATTTGTTCCGCCATCCGGAAACGAATTGAACTGGGGTAAACTTTTTGTACGTATGGGACGAACCCGCTACGGTGGAGGAGAACCCGCAATAGGGAAAAACCCCCAGATACCATCCCATCAACATGTGACTGAAACCAAACACTGTAAGGAAATATTTTCTGTAACTGTACCATTGCTAACTTTCTCCTCCCAAAGGAAGGCATCCGTTGTACTGAATTTACCTGGAAACGTTTTGGTTTTTTTAATTATTATTTCTGATGATTTGTTACTGAGTTTAACAAAGTGCTGCGCCTAAATCTCAATTTTTTTTGCCCTTCAACAGTTTATTTGTGGCCTGAGTCTATGTTGTGGGACACAAGCCAACTTGTCCCGTGACGAGATACAGAAAATAGTGGAGGTGTACCGCCAGTCCAATGGGCGTGTTCGGTACAAGGAATTCTGTGACATCATGGAGAATGGTTAGTGATCAAGACAAGTTTAAATTGTACGATTTACTATAAACTCAGATTCTATCAATCTAAGCCCATCTCTCCTCCTGGGGCATAGGCCGTCAACAACAGTCCGCCAGAGATCTTTGTTCTGGGCCATCCTTTTTAATTGGCTACATGAGTGGCCGGTCTTTCTGATGTCAACCTCGAGGTCACGACGCCAGGTGTTCCTTGGTCGCCCTCTCTTTCTCTTACCCTGGGAATTCCAGATTAGTGAGCAAAGAAAAAAAAGAGTCAGCTTCCCCTTCTATTCCATGACCAATCAAGCCTTTGGTCTGTAATTTGAGTGAGATCTGATTGAAGAACAGTTTGCTTGCTTTACACTACAGATCTCTAATCATTAATAATTCTTTTTAAATCCCTTTTACAGCTTTTACTGTGCCAGATTTAGAAAAGAAACCAACAGCGGAAGTTTACCGACCACCAATGGGTTCGCTGTCAAAGGTATCGATTAATAGCGGAGCTTGCAGTGCGCGAAACGCACGCAGCGAAGCCCCATGCTTGTCGTAATGCTCTTTGACACATGAAGAAGGTTACTGTCAGAGAAAGTTTTATTTGAGGGTCGAAAGTAGCTTCTGTGAATACTTTGGTTTTGCTTACTTCAGCCTGTGATTGGTGCAAAAAAAAAAAAAATAAACACGCGCCTCTTCCGGCTAATCAAATGCGAACTAACACCAATCGCTTCATGAACAGTTTGTTTGTGGTCACTTCGAGTTCTGATTGGCTACTCGTGAAATTTGTCTTCACTTTGATTGGCTGTTGTGATAACTTTGGTCTTGGTTTCACGACACTCAAAGCCCTCCGAAGTCCGAACATGAAGACGTTCGGAATTGCAATGGACGTCATGAGCGTTCGGAATCCATATGTCCAGTAATACGAAAAGTTCTCGTTCCGTATTCCTTTTTTTGCTACAGTTTCTAAACATGCTTTTTTGTTGTCCGTTTTGTAGGCTCCTAATCTGCTCTCTGCTCAAGAAGAGGCCAGAGTCAACGAAATACTCAAGGAGATTGCCGAGAATGTGAGGAAGCGAAGATTGATGGTGTATCCTTATTTCAAAGATTTTGACAGGGTTAGTAAATCTTTATTGTTGACAGCTCTTCTCTTCATAGTCTCTAGTGTGAACTCGTGCAGTCATCTCTACCAGCTTTCTAACTCTGTGAGTTCAAGGGGAAATAGGGACTTAAAGAAAACCACGACGTCGATAACAACTGAAAAGTGGCGAAAGCGTTAATGAGCAGAAAAATAGCTCTGCCCGTGCGTTATAAAACCAGTAAGCACATTTAATTGCCTTCTACAGCAGAAGAATAGCATGAAATTGCAACACTTTTACGTAATGGGAGAACAAGAACCTCATGTCATTGACATCGCTT